ATGGTGATTTTGGACTTTTTGGAAATCTTGTAATAAAGATTCCAGTGTTATATTGTTTGGTCCAGAATCATTAGAGCTATAGGAGGAGCAGGATGTTACCTCAACATCGTTGTAGTGGTCCTTGGCCATTAAGCATTTGGGGGAGCAACTTTCACCATCTTTTCTTCCACTTGTGGAAGGCTTGTTGAGCCATCTGCTGCTCTCTTCAGTCACCTGCCATGATCCTAGGCAGAGAAGTGATTCTTCTGAGCTATCTGATGAGGAGCTCTCATCACTTGAGCTGCTTTCATCATCAGTTTGGAGTTCCTCCTTTTTCTTTTCACTTACAAAGGCTTGTCTTTTGCCTTTGAAGTTTTTGTAACCAGCTTTTTGAGCAGTCCCCTGCTGCCCTTGATATTTTTGGGCTAAGGGCAGAGGGCATTCATTTTTGTAATGTCCTGGCTGTCTACAGTTGTAGCATAGGACAGTTTCCTCACTGGGTTGAGGTCTCCCTTGTCTTCTAGGTGGCAGGTTATATGCTTTCTTTGGACCAGTTCTCTCCTTCTTCATAAATCTTTTAAATTTCCTCACAAACATAGCGAACTGCTCGTCAGTGAGGAGATTATTGAGGGATTTTCAGCAGATTTTGAAGTGCTTGGCTCAGACACTAGAGCTAGTGTCTTGGACTCATCTTCCTTTTTTTCTTTGATCTCCTTCATTTCAAATTCATAGGCCTTGAGATCCCTGAAGAGTTTGTCAGTTGACAAAGTTCTGAGATCTCTGCTATCTCTCATAGCAGTTACCTTCATGTCCCATTTAGATGGCAGGCTTCTTAAGACTTAAAGGGAAATCTCCTTTTGGGATAGATCTTTCCCTAGGTCTGAGACCTCTGCTATAATCTTTGGGAACCTAGATTCCATCTCATGAATAGACTCATTTGACAACATTTTGAAGTCCTCAAATTTCTTGAGGGCTATGGTCAGTTTGTTGTCCTTTTCTTGTTCATCACCAGCTCCGATCTTTGTGAGCTCATCCCATACAGCTTTTGCAGTTTCACATTTCCTAATTCTGAGAAATATGGACTCATCAACAGCTTTAAAGAGAATATCTTTGGCAATGTTGTCAAGATTATTCCTCTTCCTATCCTCAGATGTCCATTCCAATTTTGGGTTAGGAATGTATATATCCTCCTGGTCATCAGCTTTGGATGTGCTGACCTTCATTATTCTGATAGGTCCAACAATAATTACCTCAAGCATTTCATCATGCAAAGCACTGAGATGTGCTTTCATCCTGATTTTCCAATCATCAAATTTGTTTAAGTTGAACAAGAGATTTTTGGCTAGTTGACTGTCCATTGTTAGAAAGTGTTTGAGAGGGGAAGTGGCTTTGGATCTTTAGTTCAAAATAGTCAGTAAATGACTCTAGGAACACTCCGCTCTGATACCACTTGATGTTCCCGGATAGGGTAAAAGTCTAGAGGGGGGGGGGGGGGGGGGGGTGAATAGACTTTTAAATCTTTTTCGACTTTAAAGCCTTTCTCCCTCTGAAAAGTTGATCTATAATCTTTTGAGATAATTATAGACGCACAGTGGAAGTCTTTACCCTTTATGGAATCAGTGTATGAATACTTTCTATCTAGGTGAAAGATTGAACCCAAATATCTGGCAGTTGGCTAGATAGCAGGGAACTGCTAAGTCAATTGCTGAGAAAATATTGGGTGTTTGATGAAGGTGAAAATGAAATGTTGCTGAGAATAATGAGGGCTTTCAGAAAATGTGCTTTAGTAACAGTAATCAGGAGTTTTACTAAAGCAGTGGTCTCAGCAGTTGGGTGGTGATGAGGGCATTGCTGAGGTACCTGCTTGGTTTAGAGGGTGAATTTTTGAGAGCAGTATGGTCAACCTCTTGGTTGGTGATTGTATGAAGATCTGGTGATATTGATATGCTTGAGAGAAACAAGTGTATATGGGCAGAGGGCTCAGCGGTTGGGTGGATTCCAGGGGACTGCTGAGGCACCTACTATGAGTTTCTGGGAAATATTAGAATAGGCCTTTTGGTGATATTGGTGCACTTCTCTTGTATGAAAATGATCTCAAATAAAGTAAGTAATTAAGCAGTAGGATAAGCAGTTGAGTCAGTTAAGACAACTGCTTAGGATTCTGCTGGCAAACTTCGATCTTTTTGTAAGAGGTGCTAAGTGTGTGCTTTGTTTAAATGAAAGTAAATCAACACACATTATATCCTGGTTCAAAGGTGGTGTAATCCTCCTACGTCCAGTCCCACTCTCTTTCAGATGGATTTCACTAAAGTATTAAGCCCAATACAGTTAGTGCCAATCTAACCTTTACAACACTTAGGCCTAGATTGAAGGTTTTTCACGATGAGTATAGCACCACTCAAAGTTACTCAGTCTTTAGACTTTTCTCTAATGAACCAGTGGGGATCAAAAGGTGCTCTATCTATCTACTCACACTTTAGGATCCGAACAACTGTTCTCCTAAGTGTTTACAACAATATGTGAAATATTACAAGAAAGATCTAACCTCCAACTAGGAACTAAACTTCTATGATTTAGCAATGAATAGCTTGTAAACTGGAAGTTTAGTGAAGCATGAGTCCAGGCAGAGAGTAAAGTTTAGAATAGCTCGTGAGTGCTCGTGAAAGAATTTCTCTACTTTTGGATGCTCAAAGCTTGGTTAGAAACTTTCGTTTCAGACTATATTTATAGGCTACTCCAGTTGATTGATCTCATCCGTTGGTTAGGATGGATTGATCTTGTTCGTTGAAAATTGACAAGGACAACTTGTATAATTGTTTTCTTGTGCTGGAGCTGATTTCCTGGTGATTTCCTTGTCCTGCATTATTCAGCCACCCAAACTTCACTTCAGGAGATAGTCCCATGTGGGCGTACACTGCTTAGGACCCCAGTACATTTTTGGCATTAAATGCCGGACATATTTTGTCTTCAATCATATACATTCAAGGTATATAATTTTCGAGCTTCTTTTCTTTAATAATGTGACATACAATTAACTTTTGAGCTAAAATAATATATACCGGTAGGATCTAAATATCCTATTAAGGTAAATAAAAATTACCTTATTGCATTTTAATTTTTCCGGTAATATTCAAATTGACTCAAAAATTGTACATTTTATTTTGTCACATAATTTTGAATGCTAACATACGAACAATATTGAGATACAATGTACACGTGCTAAATATAGTGGCATCATCAAAATCTATCAAAATTGGGTACTAACAATGAAAACGAAAAAAGGAACCCTAAATTTATCCATCAAATTTACACTAAAGAAAAAACAATTGAAATTAAAAAATGAAGCAAAATATATTCGGCAGAATCAGTACATTTAGTATTCACATGTTTGTTTGTCCGCTTTTGTTCTTGTGAACTGTTTGGATCTCTAGTGATTCTAATACTATCAACACATGTGTGTTAGTATAAAGCATATATGCAATCATGCACTTCATAAACTATTAGCAAAAACTTGATAAACTTAAATTGAACAAACTCTTGAAGAAGCAAGCATAAATTTTCAAAAAAAAAATTAATGAAAGAGATGATTGTGCAGTTTGGGAAAATTCAGAGAAGTTGATAGTGAATGAAGCTAACCTGAAATGGATGCCAAGTGAGAAAAGTCACACCTAATCCATGAGAGGGACTCGTTCATAGGGACCAGGTTGTTCAAAATATTGAAAGTAGAGGTAACCCAATCTATCATTCAAATGCCAGAGACCATCATGTTCATACAAGCCCTCTTCAAAGGAGCATCCGTCCCATCTAGACAACTTCTCACTCTCACTTTCATCACTCGACGAATCACTAAATGAATCTAGTCCGCAAGCCGAGTCACTCTCATCCCTTATACAGTTAAGGGGGACACTACATATTCACACGATGGCCGGATTCATAACTCAAGCCACCCAAACTACTTGCACAAACAATTATGGGAGCCTGTACAATAGAATCACAGAGGGATTTGGGAGGTGGAAGAATTGAATAAATGAAAAGCTAAAAAAATCCTTATGGATAGGGAACCAATCATGCTGAGGAGAGTAATTGTAAAGTAAAGATTGTTGAATAGAGGAAACCTTACAAGAGTGCAACCGGGAAAGAGCGGAAAATCTTCTGAGTAACCCGATCAACTATCCATAAGCCATTACTAAGGAGCGAGAAATGGTGAGCCGCTGAAACGGAGAACAGGAGCTCAAAGAGTAACAGGTCTCAAAGACTATTATAGAGTTAAAAGAGTTGTGAACGGAATGAACAAGCAAAATAAAAGGCCGTGAGAATATAACGATGATCTCACCTCCGTTAGCAAAGGATGCTGCAAGCATCTTAAGGATGTACAACAGAGTAAATATAAAGTCCAATCTGATTATGCATAAGAGACACCAACATTTGTTTTATGGCCGTTAAACCCCTAACAAAATCCCCTCTTATAATATTGTAGAGATAGAGACATGCCCATCAAAATATATACAATAATTTTCTTTTTTACTCCAGGGGGTCTAGGAGAGCGGGGCTGGGGGACCTGAAGTAATCAAGGTTGAAACTCACTCCATTGAGTTTCAAACCCTTTATGTGTCTAGCGGGTTTCGAACTCGAGAACACTCACTAGGCACGGTAACCTCGCAATCAGATGAGCTGGAATGCTTATATATCCAATAATATTTATATGACCTTCTATAAGATTTATCGGTTTTCTTGATTTTTTTTTTCTAAAATAATCTGTTACAGGCTTATAGCAGTTTAGAATAACACTGAATGTGTTCTTAAAGTGAATATACGTTTATGATACTTTTTATAGTATATAAATTTAAGTGATAGATTAGAAATAATAAAAGGGTATAGTGATTTAATATATAAAAGGAATTTAGTATATTTGACACTTTTTTCATTCATTTATTTAACTTTACAGCCCATTTTTTATGAATACTCTAACAAGACGGATCCATGTTGGAGACGTGATCTCCTCAAAGCAGTGGCCCAAGTCCAGACTTAACTGTCCAGACCGTTTCTGTTCTTCTAGAGCTCCATGCCTCCATTACCCTTTATTTAAAAACAGGGTTGCTATACGCTCAGAGTACCGAAACTTCAGCAGCAAACGCACACGGCCGGGCTATACAGATATTGGGCGAGAGGGAGGGTAACAGAGAAGGCAAGATGGCTGATGTAATTGAATTAGCCGCTCAGATCCCCCCGGACGAGAAATCTTCTTCTGGGATCATGCTGTTCAATCGGTGGACCTACGATGATGTCCAGGTCTGTCATTGGAAACCCTACTTTCTAAATTTTTCGTTTAAGCTTTTACGTTTTTCAGCTTGTGTATTTCGTTATGAGTTGTAGTTTATCTATTGATACGAAACTAGGTTGGGTTTTACTTATTGAACTCCAATGTGCTTGTTAAGAAGTGTACATAGATGTTCGAAGAAAATCAGTAAAAAGAAGCTTCTTTTGATTTAACACATGGAACTTATCTTTTGTAGTTTAAAATAGCCCATTAGCAGAGCAAGGACGCCGATTCAATCAACATTTACTGCCTTTGAAAGATTTGATCTTCAAAATATTTTGTCAATTTCAGTTTATTATAATTGACCCTTTCTGTGGATACCATTTCCAATTTGTTTATACAGGTAACCGATTTGTCAGTTGATGATTACATCACTGCTACTGCTGCCAAGCATCCTACATATACTCCCCACACTGCTGGAAGGTATCAAGCAAAGAGGTTTAGGAAGGCACAGTGCCCAATTGTGGAGAGGTTGGTTAACTCTCTAATGATGCATGGAAGGAACAATGGTAAGAAGCTGATGGCTGTCCGCATTGTCAAACATGCAATGGAGATCATCCATTTGCTGACAGACCAGAACCCCATCCAAGTCATCGTTGATGCTGTCATCAACAGGTTTTGAATATTCCATATACTTCGTGCAATTGATAAATGATTTGTTTCTTTTGTGGTTGTTTTAGCGTGATGGTAAACAAGACAAACATACCTGTTTCAACATTCTGTCTTAGTAAGTCAGTATGGAACTGGTTTTTATTGTTACGAGTTGTGGTTCAAATGATTGCTACCATTGCTCTGTGAGCTTCTCATGCTATTCATGAATTCATCGAAGTGGGTTATTTTAGGACTATTTGGCCTGCATATGTTTTGGCAATAAAGCATTGTTTGAAATCCTTAGTTGTGGGCATCGAGGGTCAAATAAGAACATTAACATTTTAGGAAAACAAAGACAAATTTTAAGGGATGATGTAGAAGCAAATGTGGAAAACCAAAAGGCTGTCATGGATGTGTGAAATTCCTGAATTTAATGCTAGACAATTGTCCACACATTTTATTTTTATTGCTGTTGTGTCAGTAATCAGCACGATTGCCTTATTTTTTTTGGCAAAAGCCTGTCATTCAGACCTTTGAACAAATTGTTTTCCCTGGCTTGAATAAATCACAAATCTTTTGTCCATAATCATTTGCCTAACTTTAGTATTTCTATTTCAATAATAAATAACTTAACCCGTGTATCAAATTACCCTCTAATTATACTATCATTGTGTGTATAACAGTGGTCCACGTGAGGATGCTACACGTATCGGATCAGCTGGTGTTGTTAGACGCCAAGCTGTTGATATCTCACCTCTTCGCCGTGTCAACCAGGCAATATATTTGTTGACTTCTGGTGCACGTCAAAGTGCCTTCAGGAACATCAAAACCATTGCAGAGTGCCTTGCCGATGAACTCATCAATGCTGCCAAGGGTTCTTCTAACAGGTAAAAATTGCACTTTGTTTAAGTGCCCTTCCTAATGTTTGCACATATACAGAGTATTACTTGCTTTGCCCTTACATTTCTAATGTTTGTTAAAGTTCTTCATATCTGTGCTTTTTTAAAGAAATACTCTTCCACAGAAAGCCATTTCTAAAATTCAGATACAGAATCGTTTTTCCTATGAAATTAATAAACATTTAAAACTTTGTATATAGGAGTGAATTACTCTTCTTTAAGAATATTCTTCCTTTTTTTATTTGTAGCTATGCCATCAAGAAGAAGGATGAGATCGAGAGAGTTGCAAAGGCCAACCGTTAAGGATTTCCGTTCCTGTAACTTTATGTTATGAAGTTTGTTTTATTAATTGGATAAAGTTTGGACAATCTTTTAGATATTGGTTACGATCCAGTTTTGATATTTTTATCTACTCAACTTTTACCAAGAATTTGAGTTTTGCTATTTTGGTTGTGACTTGTGAAAGTTCGTTTTGGCTAATTTTCCCATTATTCCAAAAACACAAATCCTCCCATTATGAGGGCCATGAGGCCATGACCCATGCTAACGAGAATTGGTATCAAGTTTCTGTTTGGTGGAGACTGGTTGGGAAGTATCCCTTATAATTTTTGCTGTTCTTATATTTATCAAAAATGGTCTCTTCAAGGTGCCCATGCGAAGTTGTTTTTCATTACTATATGTTTTTCATCTGTGCAAAAGTTATTCCCAAATGGTTGGTTATCGAAAAAAACATGTACCTCTTCTTTTAACATAACAGAGATGGTGCAGATGTGTGGTTAGTACTCCAGGTTAGCACTATTTCGTCATCCCATTCTCTTCTTCTTTCATCTCCACCGCCTTCAAGGCTTCAACTCTTCTTTCCCCTGTTTCATTGCCGCCCCTTCTTCAAACTGTCAAACTCGCTAGACATACAGATGATTTGAAAGGACAACACCTAAATTAGATCATTTCAATATGCTTGTGGAAATTGCCCAACCTCATGAACGGAAAGGAGAAAGCATAATTCTCATATGAATGTGGTAAGTTTACAAGTCCATTTTTGTTGTTGGTGAATAACGAACAGTAAATACAAATTTAGCAATTATTAGTGTAGCAAAACTTAAGGTTTGATCACTTAAGTTAAATGCCCAAGTTATATTTTGGTTTTTATGTTTTTTTCTACTTCACTTCTAGGTAACTTTTCAATTTATTTTGGCTAATCTTTTTTAGGGGTTATAGGTATAAATTCAGTTTATATTTCTGCATTTGAAAGAAGTTCTTTTATTAACTGAAGTTTTTTCAGATGATTAACTTAAGTTTTTGCATCCCTTTTCTTACGGCAAGAAACTGAAATGCATCTCCAAACCTTAAGTAGCAATTATTTCTACTTCACAGTAAAAGAACTACTTTCAACCGCAGATAGATAAACTGAAAATATCACTATAACCCCTAAAAATGATTAACCAAAATAATCTGTTATTAAAAGATTTCACACTATTTATGTCATTAATGAAACTATCATGAAACATCGTGAGTAGAAATCATCCAACATCGTGAGTAGAAAGATTGTTTCTAATGAACCTGGTAAGTTTTCAGTTTTATGCTTGCTTATATGCATATTAAAGAATCCTTCTACATAATACTGAAAATGTATTTTTGCAGCCTTGCAGGTATACAATCAATCTCCTAATACTACTATTTCAGCATATTTTTGTGCAGCTATTATGTAAAAGTGTTAAAGCTAATATGCCTATTATAGTATGTGAGTGGCAACTGATTATACTATCATTGTGTTGATTATGATAGGAAGGTGTTAATTCGTAAAATAATTTTCTTTACATGGGAATCACTGGTAATCATTGGCAACATAATAATTCTTTATTATGTTTGCTTAGTATTCACTTTAATTGAATTGTGAAACTATATTCTATGTGGTTAGAAATATACAAGAGCTCTTTATATATCGCATATGTAGTGTTTGATAAAATGCTTAGCTGAAGAAAACATGCTAGGAAGTTTCTGTGTGGTTAGCAATATATATCTTTCCATCCATTTCAGGTTAGCTTCATTCACTATCAACTTCTCTGAATTTCCCAAACTGCACAATCATCTCTTTCATTAAAAATTTATTGAAAATTTATGCTTGCATCTTCAAGAGTTTTTTCAATTTAAGTTTATCAAGTTTTGCTAATAGTTTATGAAGTGCATGATTGCATATATGCTTTATACTAACACACACATGCTTTGATAGTATCAAACTTATTAAAAGCGACCAAAAGCGCGCTTAAGCGCTGAAGCGCAAACGAGCACATGCTTTGCGCCTGGCTTTTCCGAAGCGCAGCTCCGTGAGAAAGCGCAGCTTTCCGACACTTTTCCGTCGCTGAGCTTAAGCGCAAAAAGCGCGATTATTATGGGCTTCTCACGAAAAGCGAAGATGACTGTCCAGAATCCAGATGGCTTAAATCCTATTTTTTTTTGTTTTTCCGGAATTAGGTTTAACGAACACTGCCCGTTTCTTTTCCCCTCTGCGTCGCACGAACTCCTTACTCCTCTTTCCATCGCCAAAGCCATCCGCTGCGATTGACCTTCTCTCCTCCATCGTACGACCTGCTCTCTCCATCAGTCCTGATGGATAGTCTACCCGGGGGGTATATATCCGAGGGGTTATCGCTGGGAATAACTTAGAGAGAAGTCAGAGCATAAGTAAGTAAGAGAGAGAGTGTATTCAGTATGAATGTCGTGGTTTACAAATGGGGAAATGAGGTGCTATTTATAGTAGCAATAAATGCCGGGCAGGGACACGTGTCAAGCGTCCATTGGCCGAGAGGTCACCTCACCTGGTTGGCGCTGGCAACCGCATGTGGCCGCATTTAATGCGGCTGTTGGAGGGGACGTTTGTACAGGGTACGGTGATCTGTACGCATGTGGTGTGGATATCATGTCGGGCAGGGTGCCCTCGGCTGTAGAGGACTAGCCGAAGGCTCTGAGTTCCGGGGACCCCTAGGTGCCGAGGGCTCCAGGTGCCGAGGGCTACTGATTTTCGCCGTTTTCCCCAGTTTCTTAGTTTGCTTGAGAAACCCGTCCTGTAAGAGTTTAGAGCCCTCGGCCAGGGGGCCGAAGGCACCCCTGGTGCGTGTGCGGGCTGCTTGGGCGTGTGCGGGCTGCTTGGTACTCTGGGCGCTGTGATTTGGGCCTGTTGAGCTTCCTGGGCCGGTTGGGCCTTTATTGGTGCAGTAGGAGTCTGTGGGCCGGGGTTTCCCAGGCCATATACTCCATCAGGAGTCACTCACTCCTTTTGCCGAAAGGTACTTGAGGGAAAAAGGAGTAATTTGTGCTTGCCCTTTGATGTTGTCCCATTGTAATCTCTGAAGTTGGTGAGGAGTTGTTGCTTTAATGTCCCTGCCGAAGGCAGTCCCTCAGTTACCCACATGTCGGGACTTGAGGGCTTGCTTTGCCGTTTGTTGGAAATTTTCACTTATTTTGTAATTTTAATGATTTTCCCGAGGGGGTCCTCCAGTCCCCCACTCCTTGAGGCACTTGTAAAGTGGTGAAAAGGAGTAGAGTAGTTGCGTTGCTGTTGTGGGCTGAAGGCTGACGCTTTTCGTTTCATTTTGGGGGGATGCCTCGTTAAAAACCTCATTAGGAAAAACCCTGGGGGAAAAAATCCTAATGAGGGAAAAAGAGTGCACCGAATTCCCCCAACGATGAATCGAAAATGTGAAACCTTGGTAAAAAATGGAGAATAATGGTAACGCCGAAGGCTCTCCTTTTTCTGAGGGCTCATGTGCTGATTAGCCGAAGGCTCGCTGTTGATGTCCCGGGGGCGCCAAAGGGGAGCCCCTCAATCTGGAGATCGAGGACGCGATGGATGAGGGCAGTAGTTGAATTGTCACCGGGGGGTCCCCTGCTTGTTGATTAGTTGGTGATGGGGATATCCGGGGGCTCCCATTACCTGCATGCTGTAGGCTGTCCGTCAATGAGGCATACTTCCCGGGGGCGATTCGGTCCTTACAGTGCTGAGGGGGAATCCCCGAGGGGTGGCCCTATATGAAGCCTTGGGCTTCTGAAGAAGTGATGCCGAAGGCGTCCGTTATGTACTGTGTGGGGCACAAACCGGGGGCGTCTCTGGGTAAGTGTACCCGGAGGCTCTCCTTGATGAAGTGGAGTGATGTGGGAAAATCCGGGGGCTCAAAGAATGTAGCCGTTGGAAATATAGCCGTTGGAATATGTAACGTCAGGTTGTAGCCGTTGGGGGGGGGGGGGGTACACGTGGCGCGTGGCGGTTGGCTGTCCGTGGGCGGCGTCACCGGTTGGGTGAAAATACGGTGCGTAATGATGACGGTCCGTCCGGAGGCCCGGTTTCCGGGCCCAAGCCCGGATTCCAGCGCCTATAAATAACCCAAGCCAATGCCATTCCTCCTTTACGCATCCAACATCCTTAGCGAAGCTCTGCCAAAATTTCTAGAGAGAGAAACAGCAGCCCTCGGTTGAATCCTTTGTTCTCAAGGTCAGTTCTCCACTTCCCCTTTACCTCTCTAGCTAGCTGTGCCTTGTGCCCTTAGGTTAGGAGATAGAATTTTCTAGGAAAACCTTAGTTCTCCCGAGCCCTCGAGCTAGAGCCATAATGTCGTCCCAGAGTGATTCTCAAGACATCTCGGGGGCGCCCTCGATGGAGGATGAAGTCCTCTCGGATGTGGAGTCCTCCAGTGCACAGTCCTCGGCCCAGGAGGACGTTGCGATGGCAGTAGAAGTGCAGAAGGAGCTGCTAGCTGAAGTTGAAGCCGAAGGCTTCGAGCAGGAGGTGGAAGACGAAGAGTTGGCCCTCGCCATGCAGGTCGTAGAGGAGGAGGAAGCAAAGGAGAGGACGAGGGTGACTGTGGCCGTCCTCCCCCCTCGGGGTGCTGGTGAGGCCAGTACCTCTCAGCCGCTGAACGCAGTTCCCATCCGGGTGGCCCCCGGGAAGATGAAGGCCAAGTTAGCTGCCCCCAAGAAGAAGATTGTTGCTGCCGATCAGGGGAAACCCATAGATATGCCGGAGGGGTATTCCTGGCTCAATACTGCTGCCTTGGAGATAAAATCGAAGGCGGACAGGGCGGATCTCTACGTCACGCAGCTACACGTAGGGCCCTCGGTCGTGGTGGTCGAGCCGGGAGTTGACGATGTGCTGTCTCGGGCGCCCGAGGGGTGTATTGCAGTACACGTACTGTCGGTCTCCATGGGCCTTTGGTTCCCTCTGCACCCCTTCCTCCGGGAGTACCTTAGGTTCGTTGGCTTGGTCCCCTGCCAGCTGACACCTAATAGCCACTCCTACGTGGCGGGTTTTTTGAGCCTCTGCAGGGTCCGAGGGGTGACCCCCAGCCTGGACTTGTTCTTCCAGAGCTTCAACCTCTGCCGAGGGGGTCACGCGAATGCCGAGGGCTTCGCCAACCTGCACCAGATAGCCAGGTGGAAGCTATTTACGGAGGCGCCTTCGTCCAATAAGGGCTGGAAGGAGCGTTGGTGCTACGTCAGAGTTGCCGAGAACCCATTTCCGGCGGAACTTCGGGATCGCTTCCGTCGGCATCCGAAGGTTGGAAGCGCCGCTCTCGAGAAAGATGGCCTGATAATAGCCAAAATCCCGGAGGGTCGCAC